CAACCTCCCTCTGGCCAGTCCAGGGAAGACTGAAAGTTCATTGTGTCACGTGCTATCTTTGTCAAGTAGGGTCCTTAGGTGCAGCAGCTATTAGCCATATGCTTTATAGGGCGTTCACCAGGGCTACACACAAAGGACAATTTACATTAATATATTATATTATATAGGCAGCAAGAATAGCACATCCCCAATCAAATAGACCTGCTAAGAATTTGATCTTGTTTCTCATGCAGTACTGAAGCCAACTTGCAGTCATACGTTGAAAGCGAACTTCAACCCCACCATCACCAAACAGTGGCAACAGCAGCACAAAGGCTAAAGACAACCAGTAGCGGCCCTGGCCAAGATGGAAATTATGCCATAGGTCCGGCCTGAATGTGTAAGGGTGAAAGCTGGGTGAGGCTGGAAGCAGGTCGACAAAGGGTGATAATGTATTCCACGGGGAAAGCGCCGCCGCCGATCCCATTGTTGTAAGGAATCTTGCTGCCTCACCCACCTCATGGATAGGAAATCCATCAAACCCTGCCAGGCAGAGATGGCATATGCCTTCTCCAACCATAGCTGACTCTCCTTTTTTAGGAGCTCTTCTGAAGTGCCTTGTCAGCGCAGCAGCTTCTATCAGCCATGGCCAATCACCCTTGATTGACACAACGGCCACTCTGAGAGGCAGTTCAGCTGCATCCAGTGGAATTCCTTCCCTCATGAAGACAAGAACATCCTGGGCAATGAGTGTCATTGCTTTCCGGAGTACTTCTGGACGATCCCAGTAAGTCTCTTTCAGTGCAGCAAAAGACAGAAAACGCGTTGTCTCCTCATATTGGGCATAGTGCAACGGTTTGTGTCTTTTGCTCAAAATTGAGGCGAAATCAAACAAACAAATCCAAGCAGCAGCAATAAAACTATAAAGTCTAAGTTTCGCAGTGGCCCAGTAAAATCATGCTCATGGCCTCTTTCTGCACAGCCAGTGGCAATGTGATAGATCTGCTGGTCCCAGAGCCCAGAACTGGCTGCCAGCTCATCAGCATAATTGGAGTCTTCTTTTTAACTGGGCACTTGCGCGCATGCACATGACAAGACAAGCAGGTCAACACTGATGTCCTATCAAAGGGACATACAAACACAATGG